GCCTTACTAGTCTTCCGACCACTCAAAGCACTTTTACACTACATGCCACATTCACCCTTTTACACACGGTGATGGCAAAGCCCATCGAACAGAAACTAATGCATTCATACACATTTGGGGGTTCAGTATAGATAGATATATATACTTTATTATCTTGCTCAAGGATACTTCGACATGTGGCAGGAGGGCCGGGGATCGAACCAACAACTTTCCAATTAGGGGACAACCTGCTCTGCCTCTGTGCCACAGCCGCTTAAGGTAGCAGCAGAAGTGGCTCTAGAGACGACACTATTGTCCACAGTATATCACTGCAGCTCCTTCACCTCTGTTCTGCCTCTCGTATTCTCTTTTCCTTTTAGCGTGCGGGATCCCACCCTTACATAGGCTGCACTGTCATGGCTCTGTCTGTCATCCAGCCAATTATGGCAATTCTCAGACCAGCCCCGGAGTCCCCCAGGTAAGACCTGAAACAAGATTTTAACAACTTCATGATTTGCTCATCACTGTCTCAAATAAGTGGATTTTATCATTATGCAGTCCTGAGAAGCAACACAAATTATTTTTAAATTCAGCCACGTCAGCTGAAATCATTCTGTCTCTTTGCATCTGCAGGAGGATCATCTTCAGCTGGCTGCACTTCGCAGCAGGCACTGTTGGACAGATCCTCGCTGGTAAGATTAGAAAGTAGGTTTTCTGGAGAAACTGTATGTAAATGGTAAATGTTAAATGGACTGTACTTATATAGCGCCTTTCTAGTCTTTCGACCATCCAATGAGATGTACACTAGCATGCAGCGAGAGGAGCCAGGGATTAAACTTTCCGATTAGGGACGACCCGCTCTACGTCTGAGCCACAGCTGCCCAATGTGATTGCTACAGCTCAAAGTGTGATGAAGACTTGTATGTCATGATCTGTTACAAATCTGTGGAGTACTGTATATGACTGCGAAATCAAATTGTTTGAAAAGCAGTTTTTATGAGGGATAATATCCAGGCCTCATAAATGAAGCTCTAATCATTAAGGCTCCATCTACTGTATACATTTTGTAAAAATGAATTGTGCTCAATTAGATTTAAGTCAGAATTTTGGCCAGTGAGACACAGCAATTAGTGAAATTACAAATTATGTTATAATGTTTTGATAAAATAAAATCTCACTTTCTACAATATGGAACCTTAAGGCTTTTTTTTTACATAGAACAATGTGCCTGTAGCATAGTGTGTCCCATGATCTAAATGTTTACTTTCACCCAAGATTGAAATTCCAGATCAACTACAGACTGGTTCTCCCTCTCTCCCAGCGGCGTGTGTGCTCTTGGGTGCTGCTCAGCAGGCGCTGTTGCTTCCCAGCCCCTGGTCTCCTGTGGTGTTGACTGGATGGCTGCTGTGGATCGTGCTGGCGGACCTGCTGCTATTGATCCACTCTTACAGTCTCAGAAGAAGAGGTACTACAACAGGCCAGTGTTGGTATATGATGTCAGACTGATTGTCAGAAAGAATTACATTTTGACAAAGTGTAGTGTAGTAGTGTCCTGTTCTACTTTTAGAGACTAAAAGAACCACAAGTAGCCCTGCATTCAGAGAGCACAGTGTTCTAGTGGGGTAATAGGGTACTATGAGCTCTTTAAGATATGAAGGGGCCCATGAAGAGCTTTGTAGGTGAGGAATTTTACAGGGGAGCCGGTGCAGAGAAACTAATACAGGAGAAATATGATCTCTTTTTCTTGTTGCTGTCTTGTCGCAGCATTCTGAATCAATTGTAGTGTCTTAATGGACTTATTGGGGCAGCCTGATAATAAGGAATTGCAGTAATCCAGCCAAGAAGTAACAAATGCATGGACTAGCTTTTATGTATCATTCTGTGACAGGATGTGTTAGATTTTTGCAATGTCACATAAGTGAAAAAAGGCAATTCCAGAAGTTTGCCTTATGTGGGAGGTAAACGACATAACCTGATCAAAAATAACACCAAGATTCCTTATGGTGGTGCTGGAGGCCAAGGTAATGCCACCTAGAGTAACAATATCTTTGGATAATCAGTTTTTGAGGTGTTTGGGGCCAAGTACAAGAACTTCAGTTTTGTCTGAGTTTAACATCAGAAAATGGTAGGTCATCCAGGTGTCCTTTAGGCTGTCATTGTCCACATTCATGTGACTATTAAAATCACCTACAATAGTTACTTTTTCTGTTTTAAAAACTAAACTTCAGAGAGAAAATCAGAGTACGAGCCAGGATCACTCTACACTATAACAAATAGGACTGGCTGCAGTGTTTTCCAAGTGGGGTGAGAAAGACTAAGAACAAGGCTTTCAAATGAGTTATAATTTAGTTTAGGTTTAGGGTTAATTAATAGGCTTGAATGAAGATCTATAGATTGATATATAGGTATAGCTATATATTGGCACTTTTAGTGACACACACAAGAAAACACACATATCACACACCTCCAAGCCTAAAATGCCAAAGTTGAAAATATTTTTTTATGTATTTTCTACTTAAATTATTCAATTATAATTAAATAATAATTTCCCTTCTCAAGTTGCCATTTATATTCAGATAAATCAAGATGAATGATGAAGTTGATGGAATTGCCTCTATTTGTTGTAAAACATTATTTATTGTAATGACGTGTTTCCAAACCACCAGAGGTCCCCCCACTCTCAATTTTACCATTGTAAGCTGCATCCAACACATTTTATGTGACATTTGTCTGTACTTATTGCTTTTCTTACAGTCAACAGCTAACCTTCTCTTAGCAGACCCTCTGTAGAATCGACCTTCAGTCCAACTAATGTTACTGACACATCCATCAAGGAGACATTACAAGCATGTGTCCTTGAAGATGTCAACACTGAACAGATGTTAAAATCAATCATATAATTTCAGAGAACAGAGGTGCAGTGTTAGTCCAGACATCCAATTCTGTTCTTTTAACTCATTGACTCATTACAGAGATATAATTCTGCTCTATGTCTTACTGTAAAACCACAACAGTTATTGATTTTGTTAATCAGTCATTAGGGTTCTGCTGGACTGTATCAGTCCAAAGGGATTATAAGAGTGCAATAATTAAACTAAAAGCCTGATGAATTAATTCACACATTCAATCTTAACGGACTCTTAATTTTGCCTCTGGTTTTGCATCTGGTTTGTAGATATAATCAGTGTGCTCCCTCTTATCTCACTTGTTCTCTCAAGCCCAAACTCAATCACAGGGAGACAGTGGATGCCTGGATGTCCGGGTTCACAGCCTCAGGATGACCTCGGCAGGGCTCGGTCAAACACAAATTGATGCATGCTAACCCTGACCTCGACCAGACATCGGAGTGACAGCGTAATAACAGACAGACTCCTTCATCCTACATCCTTGGAAAGTAGTTAGGAGCCATTTTATGCCCACAGCCTCTCTCCAAAATGTTCACAGGGTGAAGAATGATTTTATCAATACCTCTTGTCACCCACAAGCCCCCACCGCCAACACGCTGCTCGCTGTGAAACAGGAAGGCTGTCACAAACTCAGCTTGTGAAAATTTGCACATGCTAAAAGCACACACCACTGACACACTCTCACATATACACACCTTCTGTTGAAAATCTGTGCAGTTGGTACAAGTCCTTTATTCTTTTTCAGGAATAGCAAGGAAGTGAAAAAATTGTGCAGGAAGGATTAAAATAAGTTTATATCACAATGATTAGTTAGTGCAAATGTGTGACCATTTGCATTGCAGCTCATGCAGATGCACATTCATGCATGTATCCTTGCATGTGTTTTCAAGTTACTGGTTGGGCGCTTCTGTCCGAAGAGGCCAATTGAAATTACTTTGCCTCATTTATCAGGAAAATGGGCCTCTCCGGGGGTCATCCTCTGACTGAGGAGGAGGCCAATTGCTCTGTCTCTGTGTAAAAGTGGCCCGTACCTGAATAGCAAGTGTGATGCCCTGCAGTAATGATACACCATCCTCATCATGCTGTGGTGACACACCACTCTCTCTATTAGACAGTGGAACGTTGACTCACAAGCATCATCACCAACAATGGCCTGATTCAAAAATAGAGAAGGATGTGTCATTGTAAACAGCCAGATACCGTATGTTTGCATAGAGAAGCACTGAGGGAACTTGACAGGTAACCCTTTTCCTTATGAGGTGACAAAAAGTTGTTTTTCACAACTTAAACTTATCCCATACAGTAGCACAGTTCACTTCACAGTTCACTTCACTTCTCATTTTATTTTTAGCCTTATGAATTATATGCAGTGCTCTTTTCATTCATGTAAGATCATCTGAAGAGATGATCAAAAGTTAAGTTTTCCCTTTTTTATAGTAAAATGACAACACATAGAAGTGTAAATAAACGCCCATTCATATCGTATTCATACTGAATATAACCTTTGTCACAGCTGTAAAACTAACAACTGCATAAAGTATTGCATAACGTAGTGCAGGCAGAAATGTTTTCAGGCTGAGAAATTTAGTTACTAAGTAATGGCTAAATGGATCCCATTTGTCTCAAAATGATTTATGGATTTCTGTTTTCAGCTCTTAAAACCAAAATTAGTTCATGTAATGCATTTTTTTTTCTTTTAAATTACAACAGTCCAATAAAAACTGTTGGATAAACACACCAGTCTGTGGAAAATTAGCTTATTGAGTAGAGTGATAATTAAAAATAAGCTTGCACGGAGGCATCCAGTGGCCAAGTGGTTAAAATGCATGCCACAACTGTAACATTTGGTTCAGTTGGGACTGGATTTAATTTTTTAGTTGTTGTCCTGTTGTCCCATACTGATTTAAAACTATTTCTGAAGGCTGTTTCTTACATTTCATAGGCTATAACAGTAAGAAGGGAACTGTGAGGATATAGTGTTGAATATGTGTAGTTCACTAAAAATAAAAGCAGTTCTAGGCAGACTACCTGAGAATGCTTACTCGTAGCTAATGCTAACAGCTCATTAGATGAGCGTGCGACTTGCTCCTCTAATGGCTTTTTTTTTCTTCTTTTCCCTCCATTGTATACATTTCCAATTAGGACTGGATGTTGATGTTAATGAGCTGGCAAAAAACCTCTTCTGCTTCTTTCATTGTCACACAAAAGTAAAACTGTGAATCGAGAGGATGAAGCGAATAACAAGAAACACTGCACCTGGAGCAGAAGTGCACTTAAATATACAAAGCATGTGGATTTGGATTCATGCTGAGGATTAATGAGTTTATCTAGAAACAGGAGAAAATTCACACACATAAAGCATTTAAATCATTGTTTGTGCAGTTATGATTAAAATCACTGATACTTTAAGGAAATAATTCTTTAACAAATTAGGCTTTATTATATTCTTTGGATATACATTTTTAATTGTTACCAGTTGTCACCGTTTTTCGGGCAGAAACATTATAACTCTGTATATTTATTATTTTATATTTTTCATAAATCAGTGCTATTTGTCACCCTTTATATCTGGCAGTGGGTTTTACAAAAATGAAACCAATGAACGGTATTAAAACCAACCAAAAAGTGCCGCTATGTATTTTCTTTTATATTATTTTATATCAACTTGTTTAGCGTGGAGTTTGACTCTGCCATTTTACCTCCACACCACAATGTTCTACATTTTTCCCCAGTCACATTTAAACATAGCTAGGACTCAAATGTTATATATCTCATCTAACATGCACTCTGTCAGATATCAGCTGATTTCTAAAGATGATAAAGCAAAAAGGGCAGGCTTGTCAATGGGGTTGCTTCATTGGTACACTAACTTCCTAATAAATTTCCATCTAGGAATTGCTGGTTAAATTAATGTTTGTTGGATGAATCAAATTCATTTAACCATCTTTTTATGGATGAGACAGACAAGCTGTGAGTGGAAGGATGTCAGGCTGTGGGCAGGGGAGCAGCTGTCAGTTTGTCTCACTTGGCTAGTTAGCACCAATTCAAAGTACTCGGCTTGTCTGTTACACTTGGCTGGTTAAAACAAAAGACAATGAAAAAGAGCTACTGTATGACCATCTTTTTTCCCCTGAACACTTTATTTTAGGGTGGCTCAGTGCATTGATCTGTATCTTAAGCTGTTGAAAAGAAGAGGACAGTACACATTCACACAACCACATGTGATGGGATTTGCCCCTTAAATTCTGAAAATTGTACTTGAATATAACTGTGAAATATACAAATATACACGTGATGTATGTTATGCCTTATATATAATAATCTGTTGAGTTTTATAGTAAAGCCAATACTAACATTTGCAGTTACAGGATAAGAATTGCTTTATAGCAAACACTGATGTCACAGTATGTTGTTACAACACTGTTAAAACTGGACAGAGCTACGAAGTCACCAGAGTTAAAGTTAAAAGTCAGATACAAACTGGACAGTGCAAAAATATACAAAAAAAGAGAACTGGACAGATAATACATAAACTGGTCAAAGAGTGGTCAGAACATCATCGAGATGCAGGAAATAACAATCATGAGTGACCTAAAAGGTTGAGATATTGCTGTTAAAAAGTTTTAAACTCAAAGTTGGCACCTTAACATTTTTGCATAGTATCATAAATTGTACTTATTTTAGTAAAGTTCAGTATCTATTGTAAAATTATAAAAATATGACATTTTG